GTTCACAACCGTCCGACCACGATAACTTTGGGACAGCACGTGGTCGCGTATGCATTGAATATGCATTGCATCACATGCTGTCCCAAAGTTAACGTGGTCGGACTCTACGACGAGGCCCTATCGCTGCGGACGATCGAAACCATTAAACAATCAAAGATCGCGCATACTTTACCTCCACGGACCAGCACTACACGGACCGGAAAATCCTGCTTGTGAAGGTATCTATGTTTTCAAACGTAGTAGCGCACATCAGACCAGTACCAGCACTCACCGTCACCAGCAAAAAATGTTTCGTGTCGGTCAGGGTACAAATGTGACCAGCAATTTTATGTCTTGCCGTGCTGGACCGGCCTAATGTGCGCACCCGCACCTGCAACTTCGTTGGATTCTTGGCCTACTGAAATGCACGTGAGTACAGGTTTGAACTCTTCCTTCATTTTGTTCAAAACATTCAATAACGACGCTAGTGAGTAATATGAACGTAGGAAAACTCATTTCAGTGGTACAGAAGTATCCAGAGCTGTGGGAAGCGAGCCATGTTCATTATAGAGACCAGGAGAGAAGGGACACAATATGTGAGGAGGTAGCTAAGCATAATTTCTTGGGCGAAACAAGTGAATATGTGAATCTTCATTATTTTTCAAAGCGTGATATTTGACTATATGCTTCCACTCGTGGCATCCTCTTCTCACCATGCCAAGGTACAACTCCATTCTCAGACATAAAATACTCTGCAAACTTGTCTCTTATTTCCATAGCTCTAGTGGTAGAATTTCCTCCGATTCTGATAATGCCTTGTAGTTTTTGCATAGTCGGTATAGTTGTCTCCTCCTCCTCTGAAGTCCAATCGAAATCGTTTGGCCAGTATACCGAACCAATTCTCCACGATTTTTCTAGCTCTGGTATGTCGATGATTATAAATTTGTTTCACCAAGTTGGATCTCACTTGCTTCCGGGGGTAAGGCCGCATTAGGTGTTCTTTGAGAGGAAAACCTTCATCTCTGATAATAACATGTAGTACGGGCTCAGTACAGCCCGGAAATGGTTTTTCATCAGGAAAATTCACTCTCCCTGTTGCAATCTTTTTCCCTAGAGCGGAATTCGCTAATATACCAGCATCACTGTCTTCTCCACAACCACCTACACTAATTTTGATGAACTCATAATCAGCATCAACCAATGCCATCAATACCACGCTGAATGTATGTTTATAGATGGAAAACAGAGATCCAGATTCTGAAGGTTTATCTGTCACGATGTGTTTGCCATCCAGAGCGCCGCAGCAATTAGGATAGTTCTAGCGTTTTCTGAAAACCTTTTCAATTTTCTCTCACCATTCTTGTGAGGGTTCCGCCATCACAATTGGCATCAACTCTTGCCAGATAGCTCTACAATGAGAGTAAACTATTTTCCATACAGTTGATTGCCCTAGACGGTAGCTGTATGCTATTGTCTTGGAAGAGTCTCCAGTTGCAAGAAATCCGAAATCGAAGGAGAATCAATGATTATTATCATTTCCTGCTTTTGTTCGTACATGTTTAAATGAATAACCACCGTAGTTGAAAATTGAGAAATATCTTCTTTTCAGACGAAGCTTAAACAAAAGAAAATACTGTCACCGGACAAGCTAGAAAGAAAATAAAGCCATACAGGTTCGAGAAACAAATGAAATTTCTTTGTTCCTATTTTAAGGAACGGTCACAATTAAGCAACTCCGATAGCTCATCGAGATATGATGACGAAGACGGAACAACTGAAGAACTGGTTACAGGAATCAGTCAAACAATGAGTTCTCCGGTAGCATTACCACCTCCTCTGTCCCCAGCATCTGGACAGTCATCACGAGTGAGTGTATCTGGTGGTACATCGTCTGTCAAAAAGAAGCCTCAGAAAACGCCTATCCGTGCTGCTCAAGTACTGCAGACATATTAAGAAAAAAGAAATCCAGCTAAACGCGAAGATCAGTTGTCGACATTTTTTCAGTCCATGGAACTAAATGTTATAGGTTTTCCACATGCTCTGCAGATAAAGGCGAAGCAAAAAATATTTACTGAATTGGAACGGCAATCTCTATCATCTACCATCCCTTCGCAACGTATAGCTCCTCCTCTAGCTAACCTCTCTCAGAGTAACAACTAGAGCTTCGCACCATATACAACGTTTCTACCCTTCCGCCACCCGCAACACAGTCAATGGAGCTCAGAATTTCATCAATTCCTGACTTTCACAAGTTTTTCCAGATAGTAAACTCTAATAGACATAATAACAACCCTGAATACTTCATTATTTTTCAACCTTCTGCTCATAATATGGAAATCAGATGAATTATCTATCTGTTGAAATGCTTGATATTTGACTGCTCATAACTTTTTTGTTATTGAATATTTCCCAGCCAAATTCATTCAGTAGCATAAGCAAAAGTAGTAGATCCTGTTCCTGTGGGTTGAATATTATTTTTTCCGCGTTTTGTGTTCGAGGTGCACATGTGCTTTCCAAGGACAGATTTAGTGGCCATGGCCATGAGCCATGACAAGGTGGGAGTTTTGACCAATGAGATTCCAGATTCACTTGTCCATGTGCCAAGGCTAAAGCAGAGTATGAATACTGAAGAGTGCAAGGAAATGGGAGGACAGTTAGACTTAACTTCAGATCAGACTTCACACTTGACTTCTCTCCTGGTTCTTGCGCGGTTCTCACACGTATTTTTGATTTTGATTTTTGCTGCAGGCCAGTGTATATAATCGTATAGTGATTTTGTGTTACACATGTAAGTTTGTGAATATTTTCCACCAGTTATTCACCCTGTATATAGATTCATTCATTCCGGTTGCTTCGATTCCCGATATACTTTCCCGACCTGTGTAACGAGTCCAGAAATTTGTATTTTGTGAATAAACCATTTTTTGTGATTGCATCTTCCATTTTTCATTAGTATTTTCATTTCCGATGATTCATTATTTCTATTTGTCAAATTAATTATTATTGACGGACAGCTGACATAAATAGTTATCAATTCTTCTTCTTATTTTTGTTGAGAAATCCTGTCTTGTGCTATGATGTTTTTGTGTGATGTATCCTGTCCGTTTGTGGTTAAGGGAAATTTGACATTTATAAGATAATTAACCTCACAAAAATAGTTTGAATAAATGATTTTCCAGGCCCAACCTAAAAATAACAGAGACCTGAAAGTTATCCGTTTCAATTCTTGTAATTATCCAGACTAGAAATAGTAACCAGTATTCTAGGCTGAACCTAGGGTTTGTGATTGAAGCCTACATTCCCTTGGCTCCTTATTGATTCCAGGTCGATTCAATACCATTGACCCCTGGTTTATACTGTAGGTACCGGGGTAGGTATACCTCCTGTACCTTTCTCCACTGGGCCTCTGTACAAAAACATTTTGTGCAGAGCACCCCCCGTCTAGTACCAGAGAAGTCTCCGTCCTGAACAGAGCGTCAAAGTAAGGGCCCCAGAAATAGAGCCCATTACAACATTCAACAGGAAAGTACACCATATCAACCTGTTTCCAGCAGTTCGGCCCAGATGACACCTATTAATTATGAAAGTGACCCTCAATAAATGTGTTTTTGTATCACTAGCTCTTTATTACCAGTTACTATATTATATTTCCTTATCTCGAACATACTGCGAGTCTTTCCACAAATGAAACAGCCCTGTGAAATCTTGTATTTTGGTGCTGCAGGTGAGGACAAATGATATCCAGAAGTTCAGAGAATATGTGTTGAGACATTCTAAAATATTGAAATATTGATGATGAAATTCCTCATATCGCTTCCTCTTTTCGTTGATAGGGTGAATCCGAAATGTTCTTTTTCTCCTGGCTTCTTCCTCCTCGTCCTCTTCACACAACATAGTCAAAATAGAAATGTCTTTCTCCGAACTACCCACTTCCATGTTGCAGACTCAACGACTAATTTTTTCGCAACAAATTACCTCTAAAGTGGCTGGTCTGTGCTAGTTTAATGTGCGATATCATACAGGATACAGGTTCGCGCTGTGCTGGTCCATGGCGGTCCGTGCAGGAGTAGTGTGCGCGATTCTTAATTGAACACGGGTACCCATGATCGAGAACAAAAGTGAAAATCAACGCGATCTGTAACGATTTCAGCTCCAAAATTGATGGAACTGATGGTACCACAGCGAAATAAGCTGAATTACGATCGTCGAATGATTGTCTAATAACCGTTATACAACATGTGAATTGCTATAGTTATTCTTCAAGGTACGATGCTAGAAACCCAAAAACCTGTGAGTATTGGGACAGACATCATCTGAATTCATCAATAAGCATAATTCACAGAACGATCTATGTCAATAAAAAAATTTGAATAGACCAGAATTAATAAAATACCCATGATGTCATAACACACCTGCGTTATGATAGTACAAATTTCCATTCAAGGGTATTGAAATTTTTTTAATAATTACAGAATGGAGAGAATACTGTTGTAATAACAAGATTTCTTAATAATGGTTATTACAATCAGAGCTAGTAAATATTGTCAATATCCAGTTTCTCTCAGTGGGATGATGGCCATTAGAAGTTTATATTCAGATATTGAAGTGATGAAACAAAATTCACCGCTCTTCTGGTTTCAAACTTGTGGAGACGACTTCGAGTTTTTCTCGTTCTCTCTGTAGAGCTCTTGATCCTAAGAGTAAATTATAGGAACGGTTTTCGTGAAACTTTTTGTGTAATTATTAAAAGAACAGGTATGTTCGTGAAATTTGCGAACATTCGAAAGGAGCTACTGATATTCCACTTTCCCATATTATACCTATCGGAAAACTCATCAGAACTCTGCGGTTTCAACGATCTATTTTATCTTCATCAACCGGACTAATGAGCTAGGTAAAATTATGCTTGTTTGCTTTTCTGTTAATACGATTCGAAATACATTTTATATAATTCATCTGGATCAGAACCTGCAATCAACTCAAATATTTGCGAGCCAAATAAAGATTTTCAAAGCAACTAGTACCTATATAAATTTACAACAAAAAATTGATCATTGTGAGTTCCTTGTATCCGAAAATAAGAGACGCAATGTGCGCTAAATTGAGTTTTTTTGCAATTGTATCATATTTGATAGTGCAAGCAGGAAGCAATCTCATCAGCGTGGTGCAGGTAATATAATGTATTTCCACATTCGTTTCACTGGATTATCTGAGTTATTCCAGAAAATGAGGAGTTGAAAATTGCATGATTTAAGTAATTGATTATTATAGAGATTTTATCATGCGAGGTGTTCTTGGAATAAGTTTATAACATTTCCACTTCTGATCTTCCTAGCAGCAGATTCATTGAAGATAATTAATTTCAAGGTCACGAATATTTCTGTTGATAGAACCCGAGTCGAAATCGAGTATGTGTAACAATGGCAATACAGAGTTACACAAAATGCGTTTCCTAAAGTGTTACGTGAAATATTTTTCTCTAATTTTGATGACAAAGTTTGCTTGAACCGAAGTATAATGACCATCAGTTCTACATGAGTTCTAACAATCATGTACAAAATTTAGTACGGTCAAAAATCGAAGATAAAATTCATGAAATTCGTTTGATAACTTCATTGATGGAAAATGGCTGATTCAATGTACAGTTTTCCAAAGTGATATCAAGGTGGCAGCACAAATTGTACTATTAATTGTCTTGGTTCATCCATATTTAATTCACGTACCTGGTGTCGAAATAAACTTTACAACACCAACTATGCAATATTTCACTTTACGCAACTACTAACGTTAAGTGAGACGTTTCAAAACTTCTTGGATAGTATGAAATCACATGTCTAAATCATGAAAAATATGTTCTTATTGCGGTTAATCTGATCAGCAGTTGAGAAATAAGAATCTTTGTGGAAAGAATCTTGAATACGAGTCAGAAATCACCCTATAGGTTGATGAATTAGATTTCAAATTTATATGGACAGCTTTGAAATGATATTGAGGAACTGTATCTATTCCTCATGCATTGTTATTCATACAACATAATATACACTAACTGGCACAAAACAACGGCCACCAAAAAATTTTGCCAAATTGTTCGACCAATAACTTTTTTATTTCTTGTCGGATTCTGGTGAAATTTTACCCAAGCCTCATATTTATGTTCAGGAATGTGAGCCTGAATATTATGTCCAAAGAAAAGCTGATGGCTTGATCATTATACAGGGAAAAACAAAATTTACTCTTTCACTGTTGATTTCTTAACAACCTGTGGCGAAGGTGAGTGGTAAACTTAGCTTCATTATGCTTTGGATTCAAATGTGTTCCCTTCTTAACACAATGGATTTTCATACACGTGGATAACCACATTCAAATTTTTTCGTACGAATTATCATTAAAAACATAAGCTTTCTAAATCTATAGTTTATTATAATTTGGTAGGCACACTATAGGTGAGTATAGGGATGTGTAGGTAATCGGTATGCTATACTCATATATCATGGCAACATGAAACCAGCCTTATTATTCTTACCTTAAGTTTTTCTATTTCAGATATTGGTGATTCGATATATCATGGACCATTATATTGAAGAAATGGTTATTTTAATATGCACTTTCTCACCATATGAAGAAAACATAATTATTTATATGGAATATTCAAGCATTTGTTGGATTTTGGTTTTAAAAAACTTCGAATTTTTCAATATGATTTCAGTAGCGAGGTGGAAAAATCTATAGAAGTACGCAGGTACATATTGCGTCAGTTTTCCAATCTCTCAGGATGAGAACCTACGACTTCGAGTTGATGTGGAAGAAACAGTTTTTTCTTGAGCTGCCCTTCAAAAACATAGACGATAGATCGTTGAATGAAATGGGTACTCCGAAATTGATATTTAACATAAATGTTACCTTATTAAAAGCGATGCCAATGGTACGGAAATCTAGATATTACATAGGTATACTTTACTTTCACCTATGGAAATCAATTCAGCACTCTAAATCAACAGATGAAAATCACATAATAATATTTACTAGCGGGTCATACTATCAAATACTCTCTCTGTGGTGTTTCTCTGAACAAATTTTGACAATAAAGTTCAGCAATATTTGTTTCTGAACAGCATCTTTCATGTTAATAATAAAGAATAAAAATAAAAGTGTATTCAAGTACATCACAGGTAATTTACATCATCAGTTATCAAAATCATAATAGTTGAGAATGATTGCACAAAAAATAAACGAATCCCCACTATTATTATATTTTCTTCACGTAATGGAATTCATCCCTTATTGACGTTTTTTTACTTTTCCTATAGAAAAGATTTTTACGGTGAGTTGCGATAATGTAATTTCGTTATTAATATTTCTTGAGATTTAAAATTTCATGAAAATCAGGTTACTATGCAGCCATCTAGTGAGTGCAGCCTTGAACTGTTTAATACTGCACTTTTCATTTGGAAGATGGTTGGATACTCGTGGAGTTATATGTATAACATCACTGATTCGCTGCCCAATCACTTTTCGTCTTCTGGGCGCAACTGCTTGGTTTCTAGAGCGAGTATTGAGGTTGCGTCTTTTTCCTTGATCGTTACTTATTACTATTTGTTTATAAAAAAGTCGTCTAGCATCAAGGGTTTTATTTTCTTGAAATAGAAGGTCAGTGGAATATGAACGAGGTTTTGTTGATTTGTTTATAAAAAAGTCGTCTAGCATCAAGGATTTCATTTTCTTGAAATAGAAGGTCAGTGGAATATGAACGAGGTTTTGTTGAAAATGATTTTGACAATCCATTCCTGAGTTTTGTCCAAGACGTCTAAGTTACTATGTAATACTCCCCCTGATGCAATGATGCCATAGCTTTAATGTGATTCAACTGAAGCGTTATATAGCATTAGTAGTCTATTCGCGTTTCTTGTAGGTTCAGAATTTGTATATTACCCAAATAACATTATCAGTTTTATTGTTAGCTACAGGAGGTTGTTACAGCCTACTTTAAAATGCCTTTTTAAAACTATTATACTTTAATAATATCATTAAAACAATTAAACAACCTTCTCAAAACATAAAGGGCCCACCTTTATAAATGCTGTCACAGCTTCTCTTAAAGCTTGTCATAAAACTAATAGGAATTTATTGTAGTATGCCTCAAAGCAATAATAAAACCTTTCAAAACTACTTCCTTTGAAGCCTTTTAGCACGAGTTCATACCTATTGGTTTTAAAACGACACTTCTTATGCCAACATTAAAACTTATTGGCTAGAATTAAAACCTTATCAGTCGCAGTAAGCATTTGTTAAGATAATATAGTCCGTAACGTGTTTTATGATAGTCTTTTCTCAGAACTAATTAAAATACAAACATGTCAAAATGGAGAGAGAACAATAGATAGTTATGAAAGAGATTAAACATGGCGGTATGATATGAATTTCCTACTGTATCAAATAGTCCTTTTTGTGAAGATTGAGGCTGTAAAATGAAAACGATGACGACTTTTTTGACGAAAACATACCAGATATCCTTCAAAAAAAGCAGTGCCCTAGGAATAATGTGTTTTTACCAGTTAGAATTGGATGTGAATTTTAATAACTTTTCAAAGAAGTTTACAAAACTGTGTGAATGTTTGCTGAATATGGGTGAGTCGTTTGAAAAATGTGGAAAAACAACATTTTCGACGGCAGTATCAATGCTTTTTTTCTATTTTTCGCTTGAAATTTTCATTTCCATCAATGGCCGACATCTGTTTGTAGTAAATATGGCGCAAAATATACTTAAAGCCAATTTTCTTTCTCTAATGCTTGATTAAAACCTTTAGGTAATGATAAGGCATTTTATGTGACGATTTCCTCCTGTTGAAGTACTTATTGCATATTCGAATCCATTCTAATGACTATTTGCTCCTGGGTATGACAACAAAGCTTCGAAAATGATAAGATTGATTTAAGAAGGTTATAAGATAATGCCTTCATAAAACTATAAAGCTTTAAGAATATCCTGGCTAGTGCTCATTGGCACTGTTGCAAAGTGTAGAAGAACGTCATCAACATGATTAACATAACCCTACTCTTGCTGTTTAGGTACTGTGTTCACTTTGTGAATTTTGTGATTGGTTTGAAGTAGGAAACCGAGTAGGAAACATAGACAAACTACACTCAGTGCAATTCGTCTGATATTGTGTTGATTGCTCCATTCTCTCAAATGCATACTCCACTCGCCATCTGACATGATTTGTGCAGAACTGTTGTCAACTTCCTCGCTTTATATTTCCTATCCAGAAGCACGATGATCAGAAGTATTTTTCATTACGTTCTGACTCGTTGATGGTACTTCATGAACATCAGGCCCTAATAAATTCTTGCTATTTGGTGGATTAAGGCGGTAAGAATTGAAAGACGCAGTGTTTGGAATTGCTTGGGCTTGAGAATTCTGATTTACTGTTGCTCTCACGACTCGAATTTTGATTCTTAAGTAATTCTCTCCATTGTTTCGCTTGAAGTTGCCATTTCTCTTGATTTTACACTATTTATTTTCTTGTGAGTCCATTTCAACGTGAGTCGTTTTGAAGGCCAAAAAAATACTAACATTTATATTATGGGATTTGGGTTTAACACGGTTCTGAATAAAACTTCATAAATCCTATAGATTTTATGATTGACATCGATGAATTCATAGTGGCTTATAGGTTTTAATAATTACTTTCACATAGCTAGAATAATGCCAATAGGTTTCATTATTGCCTCAGTCAAATCCTAATTGGCCTAGTGTAAATTTGGTTTTATGACTGCCTTATGACGCATTTTCATAGGATTAGTTCAGAACCTCTTGGTCAAATTCGAGACACTAATAAACCTTAACAGTTTTAAGAGGGTTGTTAAGAGTAAATAGTTTTGATAAAGAATTTCAATGACTCTCACAGAGCTCTCTTAAAACCGAAGTGAGCTGAAGGCCAAATTGTTTTATGCGATAGTTCTATCATAGTATCTCAAAGCCTTTTAATAGGATTATATGGACATGAAGGCCAATATGCTTTTTCCAGGGCATTTATAAAACGGTAGAACAAATAAGACCTATCATTTGCGCTCACATAACCTCTTTAAAGTCTCATCGAAGCTATTAGGCATTTAAAATGTTACTTGGGTAGGAAACGAAGTATTTTGTTCAAGAAATATATATATGTATAG